GCTGAAACCGCGGTTTGGAGGAACTTGTGGTGTGCGAATCTATCATTTTGAGGAACTGTAGCCTTATCGGAGAGTGTTTTCATTATTAAAAGTGCGATGTATGTACAAAAATGTCTATCATTGCTCCGTTGCCATTGTGAAAAGGCAACGTTTACATTTGAAGGGGTAAAGTAAAAAGCCCGATAAGTCCATTTTAGAATGTAAAAAAAATAAATATATATATATAAAATAAAAATGATAAAAATATTTATTTTTTTTAAATAAAAAAGGCGAGAGTCCTGGTCCTTATCTTAAAACAGCAATTTTAGAATGTTTTTAGGAAATCAATAAAAATGAAAAACAATATTCAGAAATGCAAACCAAGTTAAGGACATACAGAGGCAAAAACAGGCTATGCCCTGTTGGATTTCTGTGACCTATCCTGTTTTTTTTTCTCCAGTTGACCTCTTTTGAACATCTGGCAACCTTTAACAGAGTACTAGTTCATTATGTATGCCACTGTGGATAATTCAGGCTCTTGTCAAAATAATTAAACGATTTGGCCCATTAACTGATACTAAAGATACATGTGTGGAATTGACTAGACAAATTATACCTAATCATAAGGCACAGGACAAAATAAAAGTACATTTCCATGGACATTCAAGCTTTGGAAGTCACCAAACTTCGGATGCTATTTTCCAGATTATTTGATTACTTTTGACATAAGGCGACTCCCACCTCCTTCAAGCGAAAATAATTTGACTTCTATTCAAGATAGACGAGTATTTCTTTTCTTTCAAATAAAGACAAATAAAGAAGTTGTAAGAAGATACCAATTACTCCACACGCACTAAAATTGTTGAGCGCATGATTCCTCTGTGTCCTGACACAGTTTGGCGATAGTTCCGAGTTGGAAGAGCCTGTAACAGCGCGCAAAACAGAGACTGTTATAATTAAAATTTGTAGATTCTTCATTACAACATTTTTGGAAAAACTATCTAGTTATCTCTTTGTCCTTCTCTCCTCCCCTCCCCCCTCTTTTCTCTCTCTCTCTCTCTCTCTCTCTCTCTCTCTCTCTCTTTCTTTCCATCCCTCTCTCTCCTTCTCTCTGGCCCTCTCACTCCTTCTATTTGTTTTTCTCTCATTATTTTCTTAGAGAGTTCACTTTTCCATTCCTGATATGCAGTATCAAACCATTTGTCTATTTATGTCCCTCTCACCAATTCTACTCCGTCCGTCACCTATCTTCATACTTTCGTGTCTCCTTTTCTCCGTGGGTCAGGATAAAAAGGCTTTGCTTTTACTGGATGGACGCACATTTAAAATCTAGACTTAACACAAACCTATTTGACCCTTCGGTGGCCTAGTGATGAGGCTTTGGAACTCGCAAACGTCATGTTATGGGCTCGAATCCCCGTGTTACGTACCCAACGTTGTGTCCTTTGGAAAAAGCACTCTACCCTAAATTTCCCAAGGTCACATCGTCGAACCTGAACCTACGGTTCCGAAAACTGTAACTCTTCCATCCAGAGCCCATAGCCTCACCACCAAAAACGAAAGAAAGGGTCAAATCAGTCTTCTCCTCCCCCCCCCCCTAAACTAGGTAAAAATGTGTCGGTGGTGGCGCAAAATATTAATTTTTTAAAAACGTTGGTTTCATATCAGGTTGATTAATTGCAAATGTTCCATTTGATATTCTTGTTCTTCTAATATTTTTTCATGGTGAAAGAAATCGCTACTCCCAATGATTTACACGTATTTGGCCAACACATTCGGAGAGCAATTGGATATTGGCTGTCCCGTGACGTTGGTTTAGAAGAACAGGGTCGAAACGGACAATCCCTCTGCCAGAATGGTGTGGCATCTAGACGGGAGATGGAGGGGGGGGGATAGGCACAGACAGACAGTTGTTGTTTTTGGTGCGTTGCGTGTAGCTCACACTCTCGCGGCGTAGGCATCTCATGCTTCGACTGTTTTATCACCCGACAGGCGGTCGTCATGTTGTCACATTTAATGCACACACAACGTGTTGTTTCGTTTTGTTGCTCCGGCGAGCAACCCCCTCCCCTCTCCCCCCTGCCCCAAATA